TATATTTAATGCATGTAATTTATTTATATATATATATATATATAATTTAGTCAATTAAAATGATAAATAAATAAATAAATTTAAATTATGATATGTATAATTATATAAGAATATTGGGGTATGCATGTAAATCAATCATTTAAAAAAGCCAATAAAAATAGTATTAAATTTAAGTAAAATTCATTTTCTTATTTAATTATTCGATATATAACGTCATAAAAATTCAAATTCATTTAATGTGGAATTTCTGTCCAAGCTCGCGAAAACATGAACCTATGAAAGCATCTCGGCGGCAACACAATGGCGACACCCTTACTCCATCACCAAGTTCCTTATCCGTCTCTTTCGCTCTCCCTCCATTTCTTGTCATTAAATTCCGGGAGTCCTGCATCACCAAAACTGAAGCTTTTCTCTGTTTTTCCTTCAAAGGCATCACCTTTCTTCTTCCCTTTCTCCATGGGCTCCCTCTCTGATCCTTTTCCTCGCCTTCTCTACCCTGCAGCCCGCCGCGACGACTCCATTGTTGATAACTACCATGGCGTCGCCATTCACGACCCTTATCGATGGTGAGCTCTCACTCCATTGCTCTTCTTCTTTTTATTCCCATGTTTCTTCTTTCATAAAGTTTGGAGCTTTATTTGTCTTTAATGGTGGATGAAGGCTGGAGGACCTGGAATCGCCGGAGACGAAGGCGTTCGTGGAGGCGCAAGCGGCGGTTACTGATTCGGTGTTGGCTGAGTGCAGCGAGAGGGAGAAGCTGCGTTGTGAGATCACTGCGTTGTTCGACCATGAGAGGTATGAGGCGCCATTTAAGCGGGGAGAGAAGTATTTCTACTTTCATAACAGCGGTCTGCAGTCACACAGTGTCCTGTTCGTCCAGGTACCTTCTTCCTCTAATATTTGGCTAATTACATAGAGAATAATTTAATATCATTAAAAGTAATATTTATTAAATGCAACAAAATAGCCCTTATGATTTCATCCTAGGGTTTTGATTGCAGAGTCAATTGGATTCAGAGCCGGAGGTCTTGCTCGACCCCAATGCGCTAAGCGAGGATGGGACTGTCGCTCTCAGCATTGCAGCGATTAGTAGAAATGGTGAACATTTGGCTTATGGTCTTAGCTCGAATGGGAGCGATTGGATTACGATCAGAGTAATGCGGATTGATGATAAGAAGCCCGAACCTGATACGATTTCATGGGTAAAATAAAGCTTTTTTGGAATGACCTCTTCTTCTTCTCCCTCAATCTGCTTTTTTAACTATAACAGCTGCTGCTACTTTTTTTTTTTTCTGTTTCTGCGCAATGAAGTTTGTTAATTAATATATAAAATTATTATTTAGTTGGATGCAATCAAATAAATTTATTAATTTTATAATTATAAGAAAATATTCTAATCTTAATTAATATATAAACATAATTATCAAATAAAAAGCTAAAATTGTCAAAAAAAAAAAAATCTGAAGCTATTTAAACCATGCTTCTCATAAATATTTTTACAAACACCTTAAAACAATTCCTACCATCCAAAAGTGGAGCGGACATCAGAAAACTTTATCAAACAGAGCCCTGTTCTTCTGTTCCTCTTGCTGCTGCTTCTATTTCTAAAACTGTAACTAATCTTGCTTTTGTTACCATAGCTGCAGCTTCTGTTCTGATTATGCTTTTTAACATCTGCAGGTTAAATTTTCGACCGTTAGTTGGACCGTAGATGGGAAGGGGTTCTTCTACAGTAGATATCCGGCTCCAAAGTTAGTAGAACATATGTTACATATATGCTTCAAGTACTGTTTTGATACTTATTGTTGTTTTATTGCAGAGAATGGGATAATGTAGATTCTGGAATGGAGACTGGTATCAATCTTAATCATCAGCTCTATTACCATTTTTTGGGTACCGATCAATCTGAAGATTTATTGTGCTGGGAAGACCCTGAGAATCCGAAGTACAGATTTAGAGCAACTGCTACTGAAGATGGGAAGGTATTGAATTGTAGCTTCTCACTATCCCTTTCTTCCTCTTATGCAGTATAGAGGATTTTTTATTTGGTTTTGTGAAGACATTTTGACAAATATAATTTCACTTGTTTATGCCTGCCTTTGTTATTGAAATGGGCGGATCCACCCATAGCTTAGGGTGGGCAAATGCCCACCCTCAAAAAATTCTTTTTTAATATTTAGAGGGGAGATTTTGAAATATTTTGGATATTTTGGGCATTTTGCCCCCCCTCAAAAATCTTTTTTGCCTTACTTTTACCAATCCTAAGAATTTTTGCCCATCCCTCACAAAAATTTTTTTTTTGCCCACCCTAAAAAAAGAAGCTTGATCCGCCCTTATAATGAGTCATCATTCTGCTTAATCTCAATTTTATAGATTTTGAATAATTTGCTTGGAAGAATTAGAAATCTCTCTCTCTTTCTGATTATGTTAACTGGCATTGCAGTATATTATTTTATATATCTTTGAAGGCTGTGATCCAGTAAATAAGCTATACTACTGCGATTTAGCTACACTTTCTGGGGGACTTGAAGGTTTCAAGGGAAGCAAAGGCTTTCTTTCCTTCATCAAATTGGTTGATACTTTTGAAGCACGATATTCAGTCATTGCAAATGATGAATCTGAATTCACATTTTTAACAAATAAAGAAGCTCCAAGATATAAATTAGTACGTGTTGATCTCACTAAACCTGATGAATGGATTGATATATTAAAAGAAGATCAAAAGGATGTGCTACAGTCTGCTTATGCTGTTAATGGAAACCAACTTCTGGTTTGTTATCTTAGCAATGTTAAGCATATGTTGCAGATAAGAGACTTAAAAACTGGTCAGTTTCTACATTGTTTACCCATAGACATTGGTTCAGTCACTGAGGTCTCAGGCAAGCGTGAAGATACTGAGATTTTCTTTAGCTTCAGTAGCTTTCTTACACCAGGAATTATTTATAAGTGCAATTTGTCAACTAGTGTTCCTGAAATAAAGATATTCAGAGAAGTTTTGGTTCCTGGATTTAATAGAGGAGATTTTCTGGTTAAACAGGTCTACCTCAATTCCCCTCTATTTAATAGCACTTACATCTCCTAATGGATTTCAACTAATCTTTTTAGGGAGCTTATTGTTCTTCATTCTCAGGTCTTTTTTCCTAGTAAAGATGGGGTTAAGATACCGATGTTCGTCGTTTCAAAGAAGAATATCACTTTAGATGGATCTCATCCAACTTTGCTATATGGTTATGGGGGTTTTAACTATAGTCTAACACCATATTTTAGCGTTAATAGGGTAGTTCTCGCAAGAAATTTCGGTTTTGTATTTTGTATAGCAAATATTCGTGGCGGTGGAGAGTATGGGGAAGAATGGCATAAAGCAGGTTCTCTTTCGAAGAAACAGAATTGCTTCGACGACTTTATAGCTGCATCTGAATTCCTCATTTCAGCTGGCTACACTAATTCAAGTAGACTGTGTATAGAAGGTGGAAGCAATGGTGGACTACTAGTTGCAGCTTGCATAAATCAGGTTTGGCCCCTATTATACTGATGTGTTTCTTCTCTTATGACAAAATTCAATGGAAATGAACTTACATCTTTGTTTTGTTTGTCATCTACACCTTTAGATGTTTAGTTAATTTAGTTACTTATGCATCAAACTAAATTAAATAAAATTGTTCTGCAGAGGCCCGATCTCTTTGGTTGCGCCCTTGTTCATGTTGGTGTCATGGATATGCTTCGTTTTCACAAATTCACTATTGGTTAGATCCCACATAAATTTCAAGCTTACTATAAATAAATTTAAATAAAACTGTTCTGCAGAGATCTGATCTCCTTCACAGAGAACTAATTTATAAGTGATAAACTTGTTAGTTTGACATTCTGCTTAAACTTGTATTTTTACTCAGGCCATGCTTGGACATCTGAATTTGGCTGTTCAGATATCGAGGAAGAATTCCACTGGCTTATTAGGTATGAGTTCCCTTTCTATTTAGTTATAGAGATTGCTTCTTGCAGTAATTTAAATTTGTTGTGAACTATATCACCTTCTTAGGTTATCTATTCTCTCAAGTATTTCAAACTACTTGTTGAACATAAATTGAGCTTAAGAGCTTAAGGATATCAATGTTCAAGCTAGTTTATTAATGCCAATATTCTTAGGAAAAATACAAATTCAAGAAATTGTTTAATCTTAACGTTCTTAAGCTTGACATTAACAAGCGAAATAATAATGATAATCTTTTTGTTAGCATAAGCTTCCCAAACTTGTTCATTAATGTCACTAAAAAACCTCATCCATTGTGAAAATTTGGCAAAATACAAGAACTAGTTCACACAAAGTAAAAACTCTTATCCAATTACAAATGATAATGGAAACTTGTCCAATAATATACGATGATGGAAAATGCTTTTGCAATGTATTTATATTGCATAATCGACACGGCTCACCTTGATCTGTTAGTTGGGAGCTTAGGCTACCAACTAAGAGGTCTTGGGTTCGAGTCTTGTGTATGCCATGTGTGTGTGAGTCTACCTTAATTGGCCTAAATGTCCAAAAAAAAAAATTGCATAATCACGTCAAATCAAATAACCTTCCCTTGCAATGTTGTATCTTTTAGTTTTATTCCTTGAGCATCTCAAGTTATACAACTATTTCATCTCAAAATCACAATGTTAACCTTTCCTTGCAATGTTGGTTATTTACAGTAGCTTTTGCTGCATGCTTTTATTTCCTTAAGCAAGAGAACCAGTTTTTGTGTGTTAAGAATATAAAATGTGGGAAAAAAGTCATGTTTATCAATCGAAAAAGTGCTTTCTTAGAATGATAGTTTTCTAGAAAATCGCTTTTATAGCTTTCATCGTCATGGTCTGCGGTACTTTTTTCTTATTTTACTTAGTATTTTGTTTGAAGATTCTGGTCCTCGTAAGATGTATGTCTCAACAGCTTTCATTCTCTGTCGATCCTGCAGATATTCACCATTGCACAATGTGGCGAGGCCATGGCAGAAGACTTCCAATGCATCGATCCAATATCCATCTACTATGCTATTGACAGCAGACCATGACGATCGTGTTGTGCCACTACACTCATTTAAGATGTTAGCTGTAAGCATCCTTTTTTTTTCTTCCCATTTTTACCTTCCTTTTTCTTAAGATTAAACAATATTTTAACGGCTAGTTTCATCCTCATTTTTTTCAAAATCGTGTAAGAATTTCCTCAATTATTTTAGTTTTGCAGTTTTAGATCTGATATGCGGAAATTGTTCTTGTTGTTTGGTTCTTCTAGAACTTTTCAAAGAAAAAAGTATGCAACTCGGACACCACAAAATACTAGTATGATGATACATTACATCATGTTTCAAAGAATATAAAGTACAATTTGCCAATAACAAATGATGATTTATACACGTGTAATAGTTAAATAGTAGTATATACAATAACAATAATATCAAGCCTTTATCCTACTACGTGGGATGTGTTACATAGAATCATTTTTCTCCATCGTGTCCTGTTAGGAGTTAAATTTTCATTTAAATCTAATAAAAAAAAAGTCATACATATAAAAATATAATTGCTTTTGTATGATGATATTGTCAAGCAAAGTAACTAACTTCAAGAAGTGAAATTATCATGAATAAGGGAATAATAAGATTTGAAACTCCTATAAAATCGTCATGAATCTCAATGAGTCAAGATAATATTTGAATTAGAAACTTTCATAATTAAATTCAAGATCATCCAAACTCTAATTTCAATAAACTTATAGTAAAACTTAATATCTGGATGAGACGAGCCTATTGACGCTACAAATAATCTGATTTTATTCCAAATGAGCTCAAATCAAGCACTTGAATTATGTTTGAAAACTTTTGAACATAAATTGATGGACCAAACAACTTTCAATTATAGCATACTTATAGTCAAATCGAGCAGCTCGATGAGACAAATTTGATGAGCCCAAGATAACTTGATTCTGATATCATTAAGACATTAAAAGATTTGATAAATAATCTACTATCAAAGAAATCGACTTGGACTGTACAATGGAGTGCTTTGGATTCTAGCTAAATTAATCAAAATATCATCTCTAAAAACCTATAAATAGAGCTTCATTCTCTATAGAAAGGGAGTTTTAAGAGCTGAGAGAACTAAAAAATTTTTTTTTCTTTTTTCGGCTATCATTGTCAATGACTACCACCAGCAATTGTCACCATTATCGCCATATTTCTATCAATCTTTAACCTTGTCTTCGGTTTTAAATGTTCTCCTATGGACATCAGACTTTTATAATCCCTACAAGAAAATTTGAAAATTGTACTGTAACTACTCCCATCTTCTTCAATCGTGAGGAAGGGAGAATTCTTATATCTTCTACTCAATAGTGGATTATTGTAACTGAGCTAGGCCTCGTATTTTTCTCCTTATTGGGTTTTCCGCATAGAAATATTTGATCTCCTATAATTTTTTTTGTGCGTGTTGAATTTTTGTCCCGGAGGATTATTGTAACTGAGCTAGGCCTCGTATTTTTCTCCTTATTGGGTTTTCCGCATAGAAATATTTGATCTCCTATAATTTTTTTTGTGCGTGTTGAATTTTTGTCCCGGACTAAGATATAAAACAAAACTCTATCACCGCCAATCTTTTAGCATGTAACAAGATTAGGAATGCAAGTGCAATTACTTTAAAATGCTATTGATTGTGAATGTAATTAGGCTTTTAGTCTATTGATATATTTTATAATAATCTGACACAACATAAAAGAAACATTCCACAGCACAGTTCAATGAGACTTCCTCTTTCTTGCATTTGAATTCAAATATGAGCCTGTTACTTTATATAAGATTTCCATGTTCAGGCATTTTAGTTCTTGCGGATTAGTAATATGGATGGTGCTTCAAATTAACAATGCAATTCTCAATTCACAAGTTGCAATTGAAGCCAAAAATCACCTCATGATCTCTCAGATCATAAGAATGTTGACCCTCATGCTATACCCAAAGGAAGAGATGAGAGGAGAAGCAAAGAGAAGCCGAATTTTCGGAGCCCACAAAGAAAACAAAGCAAAAAAAAAAAAAAAAATCATCACTGACCACTATAAATTTGTAGGATATATATTATTAGTGATATAACAGACATGTAACTTTCTTTTTTTTCCTTCTCTTATGTCAGACAATGCAGTACATCCTGAAAACTCCACAGAAGAATCCCATCATAGCCCGCATTGATCGCAAGGCTGGTCATGGAGCTGGTCGCTCAACTCAAAAAATGGTTTGCTTCCTCTGCCTCGCATTAGTTTTTGTATCTTTAAGGCTTTGTTTGGGACGACTTTTTTATTGCTTCTTAAAGCAACTTTTTAGTACAAAAATTAAAAAATTTGAACTAAAAACCTGTTTTAAAAATCAATAAAAAAGACTCTACTTTCTATCAGATGTTTTTTTTACATCAAAATAATGGATAATGGAAAATCATTACCAAATTAAGCTCTAGTTTGGATTGAACTGCAACTGATTAATACTGTTTGTCACTTCTATTGATGAATGTTGTCTTCTCTGATCTATTGGTAGATTGAAGAAGCTGCTGATCGTTATGGCTTTGTGGCGAAGATGATGGGGCTCTCATGGAACCATTAATTCATGACATCATAGAAAAGAAAAAGGCTTGTTCTTGAAGCCAATAAGGTTCTATGTTTGGAAATTGATTTAGCGGTGTGAAATCTGAACATTTTTTATATATTGAAATCTCATCAATGTTAGTGAAAATCTGAAGTGCCCAGAAATATTAGCTGCTGCTCTGTTTGATGTCTTCAGTTCAAGCCTTGGCTATTAATTAATAGTATGTATTATGTGTGAATTTACTTAAATATCTCAACAAAAAATAAATTTCCACAAAAAAAAAAAAAAAAAATCACCACCTTGTTAATAAATGTAAAAAAAGTTAAATATATCTCTTCTTAAGGGCAAATTTTTGCGTCCTGACATGCAGACATCCAATCCGGACACGCCACCTCACCCGGATGCACTAGGCCCCTTTATTTTTGAATGACGTGGCGCATTTTTATTGGTGTCCCGACGAATCCAGACACCGGACACAATAATTTGCCCTTCTTAAGGGTATCTTAGAGATAAATTTTTACTTATGTTATTTTTCAAATTATTATCATATTTTAATTTGTTTATTATATTTTAAAACATTTATAATTTAAAATTATTTTTTATACATAAAATTTAATAGTTTGCTATGACTAAGAAAATTATTATTATTATTGTTATTAATTATATTATTCATAATTATTTCGAAAAATATATATTTTTCTTAACAATTATATTTACAAAACATTGAAATCGCCCCAAACGGATCATTCGTTCCAATTAACTTTGTAATTAGCCTACCTATAATTCATTATTGATTGCAGCAACTAAGCCAAAAAAGTATGATTCCTGCTTTCGAAAGTTAAGTTAAAAAAGAAATAAAAATAAAAATAAAACACTCATCCAAGCAAATTTTTAATTTCTTTTGGATGAGTGTTTTTAATTTCTAAGAAAAGTATGACAGCTTATATTGGAAAATTTCTTGTGATGAAGGAATCATTATATATCAAATTATTTTTACAAAATGCAGCTACATGACTGCGAAATCCGTATCCAATGAATAATTCGATTTTATGACTTCGAGCAATAAAAACATAATTATTATTCACCACTGTAATTTTATTATATTTTTATTATTCACAATCACAGAACCGAATGATTCTCTGCGTCCACATTCCGCATGTAATAATCTCTCCAGTTTTAAGCTTCGTGTGGGGTGACTTTCTTAATGCTTTCTAAAAACAAATTTTTAGTATAAAAATTTATATTTCAAAAAAAATTTATACTAAAAAATTACTTTGAAAAATAGAAAAGAAAAAGTCATCCAAAATGAAACTTCAGTTTAATGATTGAGAGCCTCAACTCCTTTGGGCATAACTAATAAAGAATAAAAAAAGAAAATAAAAACGAACAGAAAAAGAGAAGAAGCTACATCAGTTGTAACATAGAAAACGATAAACATAATTCAATAGTAAAGAATACTTCGTTTGACAAATACGAGATTGATTAAAATTTTTACAACTCAGACAAAGAACGAGCATTTATTGCACAGCTCCTTACCAGCAGAACCGCTGGGTAAATCTCAGTTTAACTAACTTGAACTCCAAATGATCTTACTCTTCAACTTGTCAAATGAAGAAGCCACGAAAGCTGCAAAAGCCGGCTAATAGAACTAAAAGCCATTTTGCCATAAAATTTAGACTTTGGCTTTGTTTGTGATAGTTTTTTTTGCTGCTTTCTAAAACATCTTTTAGTATAAAAATTTTGTGAATTAGAAATTTTTGTATTAGAAAGCCGATTTAGAAAGCAGCAAAAAAGGTGTCCCAAATGAAGCCTTTGTTTGGGACAGCTTTCGAACTATTTTTTAAAATGGCTTTCTAGTATAAAAATTTCAAATTCAAGAAATTTTTTTACTAAAAAAATATTTTAGAAAGCAAGAAGAAAATCGTCCCAAACAAAGCCTTAGACTTCGTTTGGGACGTTTTCTTATTTATTTTTACAGCAGTTTTCTAGCATAAAAATTTATAATTAAAAAATTGTATTTAAAAACTGCTTTAAAAAGTAATAAAAAAGTCATCACAAACGAAAACTTAATAGCAAAAAAAAATCAAAAGCATTTCAAATGAAAACATCCATCTTCACGTCAGTGACGTCTAGTTGCAGTATCTCTACCCTGCAGGCCAATAAAGATCCAATGCTGCAATAGGAAGACCAAATGAGTTAGGCATCATTCTCAAACAAGAGAGAAGAAACGGTCAACAATGGTTAGCAGGTTTTCTGATGCTAATCTTTCTAAAAATATTTTAGAAGGCAAAGGCGAGCAATGAAAGAAATAAAGACTTCATATGATCCTAAATTTTTTTATAAGCAAAAAGGTTGCTCTTATTTCAACAAATGTCAGAGCTTTAGGATATGTAAAGCATAAGGAGAGAAGCCCTATTACCTACCTAGGAAAGGTACGGCCAAGATCTCCATGTACAAACTCCTTAATATAAGTTCCAGCCTGCATTTGTATCATTTAATGTTAAAAGTCTAGAAATCATAAAATATAGAACAAAACAAAAATTATTAAAAAAAAAAGTTAGCTATTAAAAATATCGAAGAAAGATACCAGCAAAAGCAAGAATAAATCAAAGAAAACTTAACCTAACTACTATTGAAACTCTTATAAAAAAATAGAGTCAGTGAAATGATAGGAACACTTGTAGACGCCGGTGTTTCTTACCAATATTGAGATTTCGGTGACCTTTCAGCATAATCCTCCAAACAAATCAAACAAAACAGCGAGAAAACTTGCAATAATAAAAGAAACGGAAGGAAAGTATAGAGATACAGTTGATGCTCAATTCGAGAGGAGGATCGTTCTCTCCCAAATCTCTAGTCGCCGCTAGAGACCAAGACGCCAAAACTTCCCACATCAAATTCAGCAAACAAACATAATGCCCTAACCCTAATACAAACTTCTACTTAAAGCAAACATAAAATTAACTCAAAAGAACTAAACAGCTCCCTCTCTCTCTCTCTTCCCTAGGCAGTGGACCCCACCCCAACGGATGTGAGATTTGATTCTTGTGGAACAGGCCTGCTGTAAACCAGAACCGGCCCAAGGGCTGGGCCGGCTGGACCGGTCTATCACAAAAGCATGACTAAATTGAAGAAAGCTGATTCCAACTATGGAATACATCTAGAAAATGCCATGCTGATTAAACTATGTTGGACTAACTAAACCTTAAAAAAAAAAAAAAACATATTCATGCAGTAAAATTTGAACATAAATGATTAGATGCTAAACTCTGGCAATGATCATAAGCGCTGACCTTATGAAAGCTTAGCGTGATTATCTAAAGAAAAAGGTTTTTCCAAAGAAGTTTCAGATGATCGTAGGTACCTGAGTGCAAAGATGTAACAGAAAAAATTGGCTGCTTCCAACAATTTTCTCAATCTTCATCCTGTTAGACAAGAATGCACTAGTAAGTGAAATTCATTTCATGGTATGCGGATACGGTTATGCCACAACCTGATTTTTCTCTTTCCTTCCTTATTCTCTTCTTATTAAGAAAATATATACTGTAAAGTGAATTCGCATTATGTACAAAGTACTAAACTTATGAATTATTGCCAGTAATTCTTCATCGTTACCGAGCGCTAATAAGTTGATAATGTAACTAATTTAAAAAGAAAATGCCCTACCAATGAATGATTCTCTTACGCTCTAATGGACTCCTCCGATGAAGCACCCTAATTGGCGTACTCTGTGAAATTTCCTATCATACCAAGAAAGGAAAAAAAATGGAAGAATGCTTAATTAAACAAATTTTATAGGAAAAAAGGGCTATTAAGCTATCTAACAAAAGATAATGTTAAAGGCTTAAAGCTCAATGAAGAGAAAGGAACTGGTTAAAACTAATATTTTGGTAGGTTGTTAGAAAAGATATAGCTAATCTATAATCATGCAATTAAGAAGAGGATATTAAAAAGATGAATGGTGATTTGACCATGTAATACATTTGCAAGTTCACAGACCATGTAAATTATCGGAATGTTGTGTGGTTCATGAAATCCTAATTCTTCTAAAAATGGATTGCAACACAAAAATTAAACAACAGAATGAGCAACAATTTAATTTTTTCAACTGTTCAATACGTTCTTAAATATTTAAACATCCCAAACAAAGCAATATGCCACAGTTTCCACTACATCCACCCAAGAGACTTGCTGCACCATGAATATCAGTCTCAGCAACAAAATATCAGTTTCAGCAACCGCATCTAAAGAAACTACAGAGTTTTTTTGCCACCATAGAAACAATCATTAAACATGCTAGTGATGCACACTCAGTGTAGCACAGTGCCAAGCTATGATGATGCACATCCACGGACACGGCGACACGGATATGACACAACACGAACCGAGAAACGTCAATTATTGAAAATATAGGACACGGACACGGGTTGGACACGGTATTATAGTTTTATATTCTAAAAATAGTGTATAAAAATTAAATAAGTATAATTTTAAAAATTAATTTATAAATAATAAGTCATTTAACTAAAATTTGAGCTTAAAATGATTAATATTAGGATGTCAAGAGTCGAGTGCTGATGCTGTTTATCAGTCATCGAGAGAGGAGATCATAGTACTATCGGGAGTCAGGCATTGTTTATCAGTCATCGAGAGAGGAGATCATAGTACTATCGGGAGTCAGGCATTGATGTTATGCAGTAAATATTGGGCGTCAATGTTAAGAGGGCATTTATTGTCGATGTTGAGAGTGTGTTGGTCGTCGATGTTGAGAAGACGTTGGACAAAGATGAGATGTCAAGTTGTGGGTGTAGAAATTACTAGCATCGACCACCAAATTTGTATTTAAGATGCACGTTTTAAAAAAATTCATAAAATATTTAAGTTACGCGTGTCGCACACGCGTGTCTAATTTGTATTAAATATTTTTTTAATCAGACAAGATTTCGGCATGTCCAACACGTGTCGGAGGAGTGCGGATGTGTGTCGTGTCGGATATGTGTCGAACACTGTACGCCTCTTTGAGGAGAAGTGTCGGTGCATCATAGGTGTCAAGTAAGGAACACTTTCCGAATAAGAAAAAGGGAAAACTGAATAATGCACATTAGTAAACAAATTTGGACGAAAATTGCGTGAAATTATAAAAGCAGGATGAATGATGATGCTTCACCATGTTATCTACAGAAGAAATACTCTGCAGGTCTTCATCCGTCAGCGGGCGAGAAATCCATACTAGAGCAGCATACTGTTTCTGAATGGAAGTAAAATCAATTTAATTAGTAAATTCTCTCTCCTTACACATAAAGCTGACAGCATTATAATAAACAAAGAAACCTGCTTCTCTGCCTCTCCAACACGCATAAGATTCCATGCTTCACTGCCAACTACTTCAAGGTTCCTCACCATAACCTATGAATCATTTGAAATGATTACCGAACTCCGGTATCATAATAAGCAATTGAGCAAAGTAATCATAAAATCAAATAAAAAAGAAATTATATTCATGTATTGTAATATACATATTTTTTCTCTGAATTGTTTATTTTCACAGCCATTTGGACAACATCAACCATTGAAGGCAAGAATCTTGCATTCGACACTTCAACTAAGAAAGGCCGACCAGATCCTAGCATCCGCACCTAAGTACAAAAGTGTTTAGTCAACCCGAGGTGAACAGTAAATAAACTTACTTGCAGAATCAAATTTATACATCAATATCTTCTCTACCAGCAGCATGAAATTTGTAGCTGTCACCTCTACATATTTCAAGAGCAGGAGTCCCAACTATCTCCTGCCAAACAGTATGAACCAATGATAGTGTTAAAGCAAGTTCAATACATGTTAGAGCATTGGAGTAGAATATGAATATCAATAAGATTAATCACTTTAAATAAAAAACAAAAAAAATAATCAGCAATCATGAAATATAATTAACACCTCCACAGATGCTTCTCCCATTCTTTCATCATCAATTATCCAGAGTGTTTGGCTCACCTTCCTTGAAAACTGTTTTTTGTGAACCAAAAAAACAAAGCATAAGCTTTATATCAAATGCGTCAAAGGTGGAAATAAAATGACATAAAAAATAGTATAATTATGAACAACCAGACACAATAACACCATCAACCACTTACTTCAGTTGGACTACCATGAGAGTTCTTCAGATGTTCTTATATGCTAAATAGAGTCCAAAGTTTGATATATATGGGAAAATGGATTTAGGCCTTCTGTGCATGCCGTGCCAACTTAAATGCATATCAAGAATACGGATTTAGCATTGGCTATGACAAGTTGGTGGCTTACTAGTTAGTACAGCTTTTATTGAATCTAATATCATTGGTCATTGTTCATTATCAAGCTATTTACATAAAAGTGACACACATGAAGCAACTACTGCCATCCTTTATGCAATCTTAAATGGCATGGAACAATATGAAGCTTGAACATGTAAGTAAGCAAGAAACATTAAGACTTCATAGTTAATATCGGACAAAAATGCAGGAGTAGCATTTCAGGAACAGGACCACCTTCAAATATCTCCCTCCAATAAACACGGGCATTCTATAGCATGTGATCATCAACTTGCAAGAATTGGATGCCTAGAGGAAAGGTACAAAAGTTATTTAGCAATTAGGCCATTGGAAAACACTAAAAAGGTAGATAAGGTTTCTTGAATGGATGGAAGCTAACCTTCTTGGGTGGTAATTCAAAAAGATCACAAAAAGTATGGTCGTCCAAGCTACTAAGTTCTTTCAAGATGGCTGCATCAGACTTACTGCATAGCTGTTCCCTAGAATCTAACTGACCATTGCCACACTGATCAACAACTTTCACCACGTTCTCTTTCTCTGCAACAGTGAATGCATTTTTTTCTCTTGAAACAATAATAAAAGAAAAAAGAATATACCATATTAAACTTCAAAAAATCACAGAAGCCCTTATTTAGGTTGTGCAACACATGCATTCCCAACTCTAAGCATAAAAGCATTGGATGTTCCTCAAATAAAAGTTTTCTTAATTCAGCCGAATACGTGGGGTGTAATTTTAGTAGTAATAAATCTATCGATAGAATTATGACATTGGGTGATCAAGTCATTAAAAAAGTGCACTTTTTAGATATCTCTGGTCAGTTGCTCAAATGATGGAGAAATAGATGGAGATATTATTAGTAGATTTCCAATCGGATGGTTGAAGTGGAGGAATGCTTAAGGCCTATTGTGTGTAGAAAAGTACCCTCAATTTTAAGGGAAAATTTTATAAAATAGTTGTAAGACTTGCAATGCTTTATGGTACAAAATGTCGGCCATTAAGCATAAAATTAAGTTAAGTGTTGTAGAGATGAGGATGCTTAGGTAGATGAGTGGCTTTACACTTAGAAATAGAATGCGAAATGAGTATATATGTGAAAAGGCTGGAGTGGCTTCAATAACAGATAAGATTAGACATAGTTTTCCTTAGATGATTTAGTTACATCAAACGCCAACCTTCCGCTGACCAAATTAGATGAGTGGAGGTATTGAATTCGGCCTATGTTAAGAAAAGTAGAGATAGACCTAAAAAAAGTTAGTTAGAAAGTATTAAAAATGATATTTTTATTATTAGATTTAAATGAGAATACTTGATAGAATGGAGAAAAAAGATTCATGCAGCCGACACCACTTAGTAGGATAAAGGCTTATGGTTGCTGTTGTTGTTATTGATTTTACTTTGTGTTGATCCCGTCGTGAAAGTTTTGGTTTTACTGGTTTTCATGCTCAAAAGTTTCCTAGTTTAAATCACCATTTTTATTGTGAAAAGCTAAAACCAGTCACAAAATGATATTTATAAAACGTTTTTCTTGATGAATGTCAAATTTAAATATTATAGAGTAATTACTCTGTTTGTAGATATATTATAAATATACATATCTCATTATAAAATATTTGGAAGTTTTTGGAACACCAAATCAATGCTACTCTTTCGCATTAATCACCTCAATCTCAATATTAGCATTCATAATGAGACATACATTTAGGCTTTCCTCCTTTGTTTTACATCGTCTGTTTTTGTAATAAGAAAATCAGCAATCACAACGTACAGGTTATTAGGATGAAAAAACTGGACAAAATTTTTCATATTTTTCCAAAATTTATTTTAGGAAAACTGCTTTCAAAGCAGAATAAAAAAAGCGACCAAAAAAGAAAAAGTTTTTACTAGTAAAACAAAAAAAAGAATGAATGATATTAAACGAAGCTTTAGAATCAAGTTTTACTAAGCTCAAATTAAGGGTATTATTAATTTGTACGTATGAGCTATAGGCTCAGCGTAGTGGAATAGCCTATTGTTGAATGCTATGAAGATAAGAACCTACGATCAAATCTTGGGGTTGTTCTTTGCAGGCCAATTATTTGAGGTATTTTTGTCCAACATAAAGCTAAGCCAGAGGTTGTTTCAAGCAAGGCCAAAATTTCAGTCCTTTGTGGATCAAAATAACTAGGTATCAAACTCAACGCATCAGAACAAAACATATTTTTAAGGATTGGGTCAACTTGAAATTGATCCAAAGTGCCAAAATATGGACAACGCTTAAATCCATGCTTCTAGCTACCATCTTATAATGTTTGAATGCAGATAAAAGAAAAAAGAACAGCTTTGCAAAATATCAAGTTAATCATTCAGATATGTACTGATGCATGTGAAAAATACATTAAGCACGGAAAGGGTAGTTATATACCTGTTCTTCTTCTATTGGAACTTTGAACTTTTCTCAGAGAATTTTGGAGACTTAATGAAGCCTCAGAGTTGGTGTACGCCAGACAAATATGGAAAGAATTGGCACCAGATTTGACACTCTACAAGCTCAAAATTAGAATGTTTCAAAACGTAAAATAAACCCCAAAAACCTTCACCAACATACAACTTTCTTTCCAACCTTATGACTGAGAATAGTAAGCTAGATTTTCTGAGAACAAGGAGAGTAAGTACCAATTTGTTTTCAAGTGATTCAGTTATAGATAACCTCAGAGCATCCTTTAAGGAAATCTGATTGTAGAGAGCCTTATTTTTGAACCATGCTTCGCTATCATATTTCTTTTTCATATACGACCTACACAAGTTGGTTGTCGGTCAACTACATGCAACAAGACTCTGGAGCAAGTGAAAAATCAGCACAGAACAATAGTCAATGAGTTCTACAAGAAAACCGTTATTGCTAATGTTATTTTCATTGGTTTATCGCATTCTTCTGAGGCTTGAATAATTACTAAATAAGAGAATTTATGATAAGCTACAAGAAATTAAAAATAATTTTATAGAAGAAACTGGAGAGAAAGAACATATGCAGTCCTGCCAAGCTACACAAGCTTTTGCACACCTTTTAATTCGTCATTCTAGTTATATAGAATAGGCAACCTAGGCGTATCACAAAGCGTAGTCTAAAAGAAAGACATCAAAGCACCATGCAACAGCCTTTAACAGGTTCTTTTTTGGTCAAATTGAGCTAAACACGTAAAAATTATGTGTTAAAATTAAAAATATATATATAATTTTTTTTTCAATACATATTTAAAGCTGTTTACCAATTTATGACCATCATAATTCATCAAAAAGTCTCCTAATTGCGATGATTAACAGAGCATGTTAAACCTCACCTTCCTAGAGCCAAAAATGCCCAATCCACTTCAAGAAAGTTACATAAAGCGATACAAAATAATTATATATGAAGATCACTATATTATGTTGGATATATAATATTTGTGGTTCCAAGAACTTCAACTATCACAGCATAAAGAACTTTTGCCATCCTCACTCAGCCATATTTAAGCAATGTTTTCCATAATTAATTTCACTTTTTAAATTTCCAATTTGTAACTATAGGCAGTGTTCAGGCATTTAATTCTAGGCACATTAAAGAAAGTGACATTACCAGATAGAACGTTCATTAGCAACAATTACTGGTGGTATTGAGACTTCAAGAAAAAACCCATCAATTTGATGATTCGCTATTTTTATAGATTCAGCAATTTTCTCCACAAAGACATCAATTGAAAAGTTATCCTTGGATGTCCCTTCACCCAGATATAGGTCCTGAGGGAATTGTAGTATACCCAAACATATTGAGCAATATTTTTGGTTAAAATCTGATTCCTCTGAACATTGGTGGAGCCCAAAAGAGCTATGCCCATTTTCTGAGATGCCAGCTTGGCATCCATTTTGCAACTTCAGAAAATAATGCAGCTCTGGACCTGTAAGGAATGGGCAGGAGTAAAAATCTCCATGAACCCCAAACAATCTAAAGATACACCGCACGCATACCTAAAGTGCAAAAATGATTAAAAGTTCAGATGTCAGCTCAATAACATTAATCATATATTAAAAGCAAACTCCAAAGCTAAATACAGACTGTAAAGCAATACTAGATTACATGGAAAAAGGCACGCAAAAGGGAACGAGAAAAATAAATGGCATTTTCGCTAAAGCTGGAATTACCACGGAGTATCAATCGTATTTTTCACAGGGCTAAGGGATTCCTCAAATGCAATGATATATGAAAATTTTTCTGAGCCAACCTTATATTCACTATAGAAAAGACCACAACTGCTTCATCGTGAAGCTAAAAATATGGTAAGATTGTTCAAACAAAGATAGAAAATATTATCAACAGATAATATGCAAGATAGAACTGAGATAACCAGCACATCAGACCTTTCACTGGTTTCAGTAACTAATTAGTAAGATCTATCATCCATTTATACGATCTGAATTATGTTTTTCCTCTTGTAGCAACTCTTTAAGGATTTGTGTATCATTTTGTTGAGATTGATATATTTTTGAGGTTAGCCAAGATCTAGGGAAATCTGATGGAATGAAATCTACACCTAGAATATTTATAATGAATTGCTTGTGACAATATTTTCTCTTTCAATTGCATTTTGGGGATTATTTGTAGGGGAAAAGGCACTTTTTTGTGGCGTGATGGTCATATTTTGTACCAATTGTGATTGTTCGGACTAGTTTCTATATTTTTTTTTTTCCTTCGATCAGTTATGTGATCTTAGCTATGTTCGAAACCTACGCTTCTACACTTTCTTGCAACCAGAGTAGTTTCGATTGCAATTGTTCAGATTCTCTTCATAAAAGATACATTAACCAAATAGTCTTAAAGGAGATTAAACAATTTCAAACCTCGGTAAATAAACTGGTTAGATAAAACCTACTGCACAGTTGAAAAGCTCATGCCCAAAACTCCACACTATCCTACTCGATTATATAAAAGTGACGAAGTCAAGGTTAAAGTAAAGTTATCTTCCAGAGGATCTCGCATGAAAATGCTTGAAATACTGAATGTAGGATTACGCAAAATACTATCACAATCAATAGTGATAAAAGCATGAGAAGTTAATGGCAGATAAGTATGAATTTTGGTGTAAAAACAAGGCGACATGCCAATTCGCAGGGCTATGTCTTCTAAGATCACAGAGTAAAGCAAATACGCATAGAATGAAGTTAGTCAAAGTTCTTAAATTTGTAAAAGAAGGGAAACAAAAGAGGTTAGGGCGTGGAGAACCTACCCCGGAAGACAGGAGATCAAGGGATACATGGGGAGGAGGTAGAGAAAGCGCCGCGCGCGAGAAGATGCTTCTCGCATCATCGGCCATCTCTCCGGCCATCTCAGTTCCGGCCGGATGAATTTGGCGTCGGCAAGTGCAAAACCGCAGTGTCACTAGTCTCCCACTTACCCTAGGGGCTGTTTGGTAAATAGTACTTGTGCAAAATAATTTTTTTTTTAATTTTATTTTATAAATTCAGATTTTATTACACTCTAATTCTTCAAAATTCCTTTGTAAATTCTGTCAATTTAGATTTATAAAATTTGAGATTTAAGAATGATTCAAAAAGAAAATGATTTACCTTAAAATCTTAACTAAATTCTCCTTAAATCCTCAAGGGGTTAAACATATTTAATTTTTTTGTTAAAAAAAATTATCTAGCTTCAAAAAGATTATTTATGAGTAGGGGTGTCATATTGGACCCGAATGGAAAACTCGACCCGAACCCGACCAGAAAATTTCGGGTTTGGGTTGACTCGAACCCGAAACGGGTCGGGTTCGGGTTCAATAATTAGACCCGTTTCAAAAATCGGGTCGGGTTCGGGTTGACCCGTCAACCCGAAATTGACCCGAAAATGTCCCGTTTTGACCTAAAAACCCGTTTTTGACCCGGGAACCCGAGATTGTCCTGATTTTGACCCGTTTTTTTACCCAAAAAGTGAAGTTTGACTCGTTTTTGGACCAGAAAACTAGCAATTTTATGTCTGAATCGGGTCATTTGGGTCGGATCGGGTCGGGTCGGGTTGACTCGGACCCGAAGCGGGTCGGGTTCGGGTCTGAAAAACCGACCCGTTTACATAAACGGGTCGGGTTCAAGTTGACCTGAATAGTATCGGGCCAGTTTCGGGTTCGACCCGAACCCTACCAGTGACCCCGAAATTGACACTCCTATTTATGAGGACATTATAAGGGTTTTGATGAAATTGGATTTATGATTTATATTTGACATAAATATTTACATCTATCTCAAAATAATTCTAAAAATATCAAATTCGTGTTAGTCCTAATTTGGTTCTTACTATGGCCCAAATTATCCCCATCATATTTGATTTATATTATTGATATGTCATAAAAAAATCAATCTTAAGGTATACTTAAAGCAGAAACTCTTAAAATTAAATTTAGGATCGTTTGAACTCTGATTTCAACAAATTTATAATCAAAATGAATATCTCGATGAGACAAACCCAACAACATCAAGAGTTGTACAATCCGTACCCAAATCAAGAGCCCGAAGTACAATTAGAAACTTCAAGAGATCGATTGGATGACCAATTGATCACAAAATATGGCATGTGTATAGTCAAATCAAACATCTCTATGAGACAAATCCAACGAGATCATGATCGATTGATTTTGACATCATTAAGGAGCTTAAATGCTTAAAAATACGATTTTTTATCAAGGGAATCAATATGACAGTTAAATGGAGTTATGTCATTTGATCATTCACTGACTAGCCATCATTGACGACTATGGTCCTTGGAACACTATTGCTCAATACTTTGACCACCATCCCCCAACTATAGTCCTTCCGACCTTCGTCGCTCCACCTACTATAGTCCTCAAACTAGAGTCACTTGACCATCGTCAGACGTCAGCAGATGGCCGTCGAATTAATGTCACTGAATTACAGTCCTTTCGATCGTCCTTACTCGCCGACCATGGCACCTGACCTCTGTTCTCTGCCGACTATGATCCTTCCAATTTTCGTCGCCTACAAAATTTTGTCTTTTGACCATTGTTGCCCGATTAGAGTTATTGGATTACCATCACTTAACTAAGGTCCTCTAATCACTGTTGCCCAACTACAATCCCTCTGACACCAACAACCTGCCGACTGCGATCTTCTCGACCTCCGTCACCCGACTACGCTCCTCAAACTAGTATCACTCGGCTTCAGTCTTCCAACCATTGTCGCACAACTTTCAATCGTCCCTATTAGACTTTTGATCGACCGACCACATATGTCCAATTACAATCTTTCGAATCAATATTGCTTGCCAACAATTTTCCTCATACTACCGTCGCCCAACTAAAACTCTTATTATTTTCACCTGACTATGGTCCTCTAACCATCGTCACTTGACTACGGAGGTCGTTGTCGGACCTTTCGCTGATTGATCACAATTGTCTGACTACAATCCTCCGACCTCCGTCGCTTATCAACTATAGCTCTTCCTAGCTAATCTAACACCAACTGACTCCCAACTATAGCACTAAGATTTATGTTGGATGTTTGTCACATGATTCTTCTAGCTTCGACCACACAATATGTTCTTTACATTGTAGCAAAACCTTCTTTAGACGAAGGTTATCATTTATAATCAATAACAGCGATCTTGGGCTCGTTGGATTCGTCTCGTCGAGCCGTTCGATTCGAGTGTAAGCTCGTTAAAATTGGAGACCGTTTGGTATCTCAAATTGCGGTTTGAACCTTCCAACAGCGCTTCGGGTCCATGATTCGGACCCATTTGGGCTCAGATCGAGTTGAATTTGGTGTTGTTGGGTTTGCATTTCCGAGACGCTCAGTTCGACTGTAAGTTTGCTGAAATCGGAGTTCGGATGGTCTCCGAATTAATTTTTGAAGTTTTCAAACTTGATCCTGCATCAAGATTCGTGCCCGATCAAGATAATTTTTCGACGATGTATCAAGTGTAAAATTTTATTATTATTTTTTTAACTTTCTAATTCATTTTTGATGTTTTATAAACTCACCCATTTAAGTGATATGAAACTAATAGCCCCTCCAATTCTTTTTTACTCCAACTTTCACCATGCATGATGTTTGACTTTTTGGAAGGAAAATCAAATAAATCACACATAACAAAAAGAGTGAAGAATCCTCTCACACACACACAAGAATAAATGTTGAAAAAGAAACCCCTAACCTCAATAATTTCATGTTAAAAAGTAGAAGATATGCAAACAAAATTATTTCAAAATTGTAATTACAATCTTCTATATGAAGATTTGTTTTCTCCTAAAAGAGTCTTACAATGAAAATAAATTAAAACTACTTAAAAGAAGAGCGAAAAAAATACTCCAAGAGAGGTTAGCAGCTATAGGGGGCACACTGAGTGCAATCTTAGAGCCATGAAGAAATCAATACAATGATTAGAACTCCTAATTCATGTGTTCAAAAAATATTATCATGATTAGTTGTCATATTGGTCCCACCAAGGGTGGGCTGTGCATGGGATTACGGTGAGATCCGACATGTATGTTAGGCATGGGCCTCACAATCTTCAACATTTTTTAGCACATTTAAATCAATTAAGACAAACTCACATACTCATTACATATACAAGACTTGAACCGAATATACCTAGGTTGAGAGAGATTATTTTGTGCAGACGTCGAACGCAGCTCTACATCCGGATACCAATCAGAATGAGTAACGTCAGCGATACCGAGTAATATCGAACCCCGGTATCGAGCTGCGGGCTTAGGTATCCAGACGAGATTCGACTTCCGCACAGAATAATATTTTCTTTGTTAATAGCTAAATCTCCCAACAAATAGACCAAGATGAGCTGAGTACAATATTTTCAAACCAAATAACACAACTACCAATAAACTAGCAAATAATGTTGCTTCAAGGAACATAAAAAGAGAATTAAATGGAGCGTGAAATTAACATAACAACTACTTTAATAACATAAGATTATATATATAGCATAAACCAAGTGGAAAGGAATTATGTATGAATATTCTGTTTTTTTTTTTGGAAGGAATGGGAAAACAGATAATCAAAATCAAAAGATAAATACTAAAAAATAAAGCAAATGTAAATCGAAATAAGAACAGTCAAAGTGCTCCAAGACAGATTACTATATTATTTTTATTTCTATTTAAATGTCTTCTTTTTTCTGAACATTTATCCTTCAACTTTGACCATCTGTCTTCCCATATATTCCAATCCAAAATATATCAGAACAACATGACATAATTGTTTTTCCAAACCAAGTTTGATGATCACTGATCAGTCATCTTCCTCAACCAACTGCTTGAAATTGATCGGCGAGGCGAACTCCGGCGAACCTCCATAGATGGCCAGCCCTGCAAGCTTAGATGCAGCATGTGTTGGATGTAACTTATCCCAGAACAGGTATCTGTTGCGTTCCGAGCAGAATGAAGCGTTTGGAGTGCAGGAAAGCTCGCCATTGAACTTTCCACCACCACAGCAAGCAGTTTTAGTCTCTTTAATACCTGCAAATGAAACAGTTAAGAACAATTTAGAAAAAAACAATTGTTTCCAATGATCTGGATCTCATTCTAACACAAAAGATTGCAGATTTTATTGATTTCATAGATTAGGCACAATTTTGATTCCCTTTGATTCACATATCCTAAAAAAGATAGTCTTATCTAAATTTCTTCCTAATAGAGAGGTTGTAGACTGCTGAAGAACAAACATTAAAAGTTTAGTTTCATATGGCTTTTACTTTTTGACAGTATCTTTTAAAGAAGCTCTCTCCACTAAGTTTTTATCCAGCTTTTTCAAAAGTAGCTTTCCTAAAGACAATTATAAGAATAACGGGGAAAGTATTTAATGATTGATAAAATTTGTTCCATTTGATGTAGTTCAATTTGAATTTGAATATTCTGCAAAATGGAAGTGAATAAAAAAAAGGAGCTTTTATATTGTTAACCTACGCCTCTAACTATGGCTTCATGGAGAACTTGAAATTTTGAAGCAAAGCTGTGGATTCTACGTTGATTCTTTCCGGTTGTGGAGTTTATAAAAATTATTTTTGCAAGGGAGATATTTCTAGGCAGTGGATATTCCTTGGAAGAGAAATAAGAATGTACTAGATGCCGATGTGGATCCCAGTGGAATAATTCAAGCAAATAAACAGCTGCCTTCAGGACATGGAAAGTCGGTGCTGGCATTGAGTCAGATTTTTAAGATAAGGTTATCTTCTAAACTTTTTTTTGCTCCTGACGCTGATATATCATTAAAAATTTATCTTTATCAGGCATGAATCTCGAGGCAAAATTATGATGTCTTTTGTGATTGATGCATCCATCTTTTCTACCTGTTTATGTGCTAGATTTTCATATAAAATTTGGACGCTAAACTCTATATCTCTCTACCGCTACGAATATTCCAGGATGCAACAGGCATATATGGTGATTGCATGGTGCCATGTTCTAGAAGCATCAATGAAGAGATCTTCAATTATGACAGACCTTTGATTTATCATCTATTTGTATGGTTCTTTTTATTTATACAAGGTACTGAGCGATTTGAGACTCCTTTGAAGATGAGATAATGTGCGCTTGAATTTGGAGAAATAGTATTTTTTTTGTCCTATATGTATTTGTACAATTGTGCGACATAATGATGAATAATTTCTCTCTCCTCTTGGTTGATTTCAGCTACGGGTGTCAAAATCTGACCCAACCCAGCTTTTTTCGGGTTCGCGTCAACCCGTTTTCCATACGGGTTAGGTTCGGGTTCAAGATTCTGACCTGTTGAAAAAATCGGGTGGGGTTCGGGTTGACTCGGCAACCCGAAATCAACCCAGATTTGACCCGCGTAAGCCCTCCAACGGTCCGACCTCCGTGTTCGGTGTTCTGCTTCGCAAATCACAACTCAACTCGCTTGATTGCTTGACCCCGCCAGCCCTCGCCTTGCAATCCCGCATGACTCGGCCTCGCCCGTCGCACCCACTAGACCTGACCTCGTGCAATCGCGCCCTCGCCCGGACGTGCGGTCACCACGGTCCCCACTAGCCCTCACCCGCGAAATGTGGTTCAGTCTTCGCTTGTGCCAGTCGCGGGTCGGGTTAACCTGATAACCTGTGCGGGTCAGGTTAGAAATCTTGACCCGAACCCGACCCATCGATCCGTTTTGACACTCCTAATTTCAACTATTATGTTAATCAAACTATTAACTTGTAAAGTTTAATCTTTTCCCATAAAAAATACAAGCCATGCAGACTTAATTGCGGCTTATTTCCAATATTTCATAATATTTGAATTAGTTTTCGCCTATTTCCCATCATAAGCTAGATACAGACCTGGGTTTCATATCTTTAGCTTATTGATGTAACCTATAATACTCCCACATAGATCTGGGTTTAATATATTTGGATCGCATACATAGATGGTTAAGCAGAGTTAAATAACCTCATGCAAACCAATGAAAAACAGTCATCTTTGAAGGGTAAGATATAACAAATATAATAAATCTTAAAAAAACAAGGAGCAAGAAAAACACTTTACCGTTCACTGCTATAGTATTAAATTAAAACTTCAGGCTTTTGACTCACCGACGGCAGCAGGGTTGCGGATGATATTTGAAACCACCGCATTGGAACTTCCAATGGAATACTTCATCCCTTTCAATGTCAAGCTAAGTTCATGCATAACAGCCATTGCAGCTTTGTTGAATTGCAAAGATAGTTCATTAAGCACATCTAGGCAACCACCTGTGGGGCTTAAACTTCTTGGAAATGGACAGCATCCTATAGGAGGGATATCAATCATGCCGAACTTCCTTGCTCCCAAATTGTACAATTTCTACAGCATTTGATCAAAGAGATTAGTTCCTCAGTTATGAAAATAAAATGCATATTAGCATGAACTGGTTGATTTACTGATGGTTTCAAAAGATGAAAGAGAAAAGGGACACTTCACCTCAAGATGGTACTTATAGGTCGAGACAAGAGTGGTGATAAATTTCTCTTTTTCTGTGGCATTTGGAGCATTATTTTGTAAAAAGTAGCCAAATATATCATTCCCACCTGTACTGATAATGAATATCGATTTTGATAGAAAAAAATCTGCTTGCATTTCTGACAAATGAGATGTCATGTTTGATCGAACAGTTGCAAAGTTCTCTATTTGGTTGGTAGTTGACATGGTGTCGCCCTGGCAGATCAAATGATGACAGCCATTGAGCACTGACAGTTGAAAATATAGGAAAAACCAGCAAGGAAATTGAGAAATCTAATGGAGCTGATATACTAACCGTGGAGTCAAGAATGCCTGATCCTCCAGAAGCAAAGTTGGCACCTTTGATTCCACTGACAATCCGGTGATGAATTTTACTCGCAATAGAAAGAAAAGGAGGAGGGCTCCTTTTAAAGCCAATATGCATAGCTGGAAAATATTATTTAGAAATAAAAATGATTAAATTCTCAGAAACTAAAATGCAAAGAACAAAATTTGATGTTCATTTAAAGAAAGTGTGGAAAGATAAACTTGAAATACTCATAGGGACAAGAAATTTAAGCACATGAAGAATCTAGTATAAGGAATAATTACATATAAGAAATTTTTGCTATATTGGTTTAAATTTCTAAGCGAAAGTTCTATCTAAAGACCACCATGATGACAACATCAAGTTTTAATTGTGTATTTCTTTCCTGTATTGTTCAATGCTCTAAGGTACTATTGGCTTCGTAAGTTCCCCACAGGTTTCTCATGTTTAGCTGATTGATGACCATGAGTTCAAAATATTCGAAGAAAAATACGTAGGACCGTAACCTTTGGAGGCAACACATTCTTGGAACATATTCAACGTGTTAGTTATGTGTGGAATATGATTGTGTTGATCAATCGGGTTGTATTGTTGCCTCAAAAAAAAAAATTTGTGGTGCTCGCCGGGGAGGTGCAGGGGGTCCTCCTCCTGCTTGGGTTCGGCCACAAAAAAAAAATTCCCATACAACGCTCCGGCGTTGTGTACCCTAGCTTCCCGACCCTGTGTACCCAAGTGACCCGGCACTGCAAAGTTTGATATGAGAAACAAAAGAGAGAGAAACTCCGCATCGCTATAGATTTGGCGTCGCAAAGCTGTGTAGCAACATCGTCAAATGGATTGATGACAGAGGTTTGAGCACCGCAACGCTCCAAACTGGCGCCACAGCTCTTTGAGACAGACTGAACATTTTTTTTTCTCATTTTTTTGAATGGTGGCATCCCTTGGTGTTATTTACATGACTTTCTTTGTGTTTTGAGTGTAAGAACGGTGCAAGAGAGGAGAGAAGCAAGGAGAGAGTGAGAGAAGAGAGATATATACTTATTTCTCCCAATTTTCATAGTGGATTTTTTGGTGTGGTGTGGTGTAGCTCTGTGATTTTTTCCGATTTCGGATTTTTCCACGTTAAATTCTGGTATTCTTTACTTTTTGTTGCTTCTATTTTCTTGTTTCTTTAGTTGTGGTGTTTCACTTCCATCTCCAACACAATGTCCTTTTTAATAGTTTCCCTTTAACTCTTCCACCTCACTTCTCTAATAGATATTAAAGATAAAATGGTGACAATTATGGAGGAAACAAGGGAAGAGGTCTCTCGATCTATCTCATTATTAAATCTTTGCTTTTGAGAAACATGGGAGGTTAAACTCTTCTCTAAAAGAAAAGAAACCAATCTATTTGGTAAAAAAAATAAGGGTGGTCATTATAAGATAATTTTTCTAAAAAAAGAAGCCCTTAATATGAATCATCAAAAATATTTTGAGGGTTAGAATTTTGAGTTCGAATGTAAATCCACATACACATGCAGGGTTGAATTTACAATTACTTGAGGGTGGGCAGTTACCCACCCTCAAAATTTGAATACATTAGTTAATAGTTATAGTAATAATATTTTAGGTATATATCTCCTAATCGTGATCCTCGTTTGCCAAAATATTAAGAAAAAAAAAAAGCTACGCTTGCAAGCGAATTTGAGTTTGAATGTAAATACACATAAAACATGCATAGGGACACATAAATACATAGGGAGAGGAAGGATGAAGACAAACGAGGAAATCTGCATACCTTAAATATTGTAGATCTCTCGATCAACTTTATTTAATTACCTTAGGACTAAATTTCATAAAATATTTTACTTTGGGTTGAGCAACAATCTTAAAAAGTAATAACATCATATACTTAATAATGTTACAAGAACATTGACTTTTTATAAGTTCAATTAAATATTCTATAAATTTCTTTAATTAATAACAAGATATTAGCAGAAGGAATTAGCCAAAATTTTCTCCATATCCAAATCTGTCCTTCATCAACTACTGTTACCCAAAGCTGAAACTAAAACAAGTAAGAATGCCAAAAAAAAAATATATATTTTCAGGGCTGCTTGCGCAAGATTTAGCTTAAATCCTGCCAAAAAGATTTTTGGGGACTGAATAAATCCAGTTTCAACCCCGGACTTAGTCAAATCCCACCATACACATGATTAAACAAATCTAATAATTTATCTCTCACAAATCTAAAACCCCGAAACAAACATCCAAATATTTTATCAGTACGCAGCGAGATTTAAGAATGATAAACCGAACAGTTTTCATGCTTGTGGTCAAACAGCCCTTCAAATCACCACTGAAACTACATCACAGTAAACAACTACAAGAAAAACATCATATGGTAAAAATATTCAAATACATTGTTAGCTTATTTCAAAAAAAAAAAAAAAAAACAAACGAACACACAGGAATTTGCAGTTTAGATCATCATTACACATTCGCAGAAAAAAACAATGTCATACATAAAACATCCACCTCTCATCACTCCAACTACCGTACACATCAGAAAATACAAGCAAAACCAAAAAAAGCTAGGGCTCAAAAGCCAGCTCAACTTACCCAAGAAATCGATGCCATTATAGCCATTGCTGAACCTCCCTGTAGCCCTCTTCGCCGGAAAATCGACGCCGTTGTGAGGAAAATTGGCCTTGGCAGTGCTTCCCGGCAAGTAATTGTTGTTTCCGACGTCAGCGGTCGAGTCACCAAAAACATAGATCGCCGGAACTCTATCAGCTCCGGCCGTTTCCCAAAAGAGAAAAGCCAAGAGGCAGAGTAGAGAGGGTAATGAAGGAAGCTTTGTGAGAAGGAAAGCCATAGTGCTATGCTTTGCTGCTAAAAGCAGAGTGCCACTCAGATATAATATAAGGACGACGAGCTCAGTCACGAGAGCAACTTAATAAAAATAAATAAATAAAATAATCTTTACCTATTATTTGAATCCTACTTATTTAGGAAATAAAATTTAATTATTTTTATTTCGTAATAATACTATTTTTTAAATTATTAAAATATTTAACTCATTTGAAAATGTTTAATTTTAAAATTTTATTAATGTTTTTCATATCTAAATTAGTTGACACTTATTATTTTAAAATTTCAAAAGATTTTTTTATTAATTAAATTTATATTTATACAAAATAATATTGAAGGCGTGCAAAAAAAAGTTTGGTGGGCGGAGAATAGGGAGATTATTCTATGCAGATTTCAGACTTAGCTCTAAGACACGTGAATTTCATAAAACCTGACGACCCGACCCAGCCCAGCTATGAAAATTTTAAAATCCTAGCAGCCCATTCATTTTTTATGTTTAGACCAGTAAAAGTTCTCAAATATTTAGAATTTTGTATAATAAAAATTTATGTTTGTTTATAAAAAATGAGAAACAGGCGATGAAGATGGAGATTGATTCGAAGAACTTCACATTCTCTGCTTAGCCATTGGAATATACATTTAGTTGGAGAAAATAACAAGATATATATAAAGATTTTTATTTAGTTTAATAAGGTCTCATTAGTAATAATCATGCTAATCAGGAATGGGATAATTAACCAATCAACTAATTACTCATAGTAATTACTTAATAATAACTAAGTACGATTTATTAAGACTTAACTAAAATTATAATTAAGGTCATTAAAATTTAAGATGTAATTTTTAAAGATTAATTAAGCTTGGTATAATTAAAATATTAATTAACCTAAAAGTAACTAATGAAATAGTGATTATAATGGTAACTTATAATTAAGGCTTAAAATAATATAATTATTTAAATGGGGAATAATTAAAATATTAAATGAATTTTTGTTTGTTTAAATAAAAATTATAATTAAAACAAAACAAAATAGAACAAAATAAATCCAAACATACCCTAAAGTTATCTAGATTAGTAATTTGGTTTATGTGGATCCTCTAAAAGGATGCTGCTAGCGGGGGTCATAATGTAAAATGTACAATTGCATTATCTCGTAGGATAAAAAGGTCGTAGGCCTTTGCACTTTATGCAAGCATGCTAATATGAGTTCAAGATGGGATCAGACATATGATTAACTATGGAGCAATACATAGTCCATTTACACAACAGTACACAACGGTAGACAGCAGTACATAGGTTATTTACAGAAGAATATGTTTTCGCGGCATTCGATATATAAAATTTTGAAGAATATATTTTAAGTGAATGTGTGTGAAACATCACAAAAAATACATAAATCATTGCTGCCCAATTTATAAATTTCTCGTTGCAGTATTTAGGCTTATTTTAGAACTTGACATGCCTTGAAGATAAACACAATTTTGTTGTAATTGCCTCTATGACATATTTTTCTACTGAAAAACTTATCTCAGCAAAATGTATATATATTGTTTCATAATATACATTGAAAAAAAAGTTATTAGGTAAGTAAAATACATCTTATTCTTAAGCTTTTTCTTCTTTTTCAATGATTTTGCAAAGAATGCGAAGTCATCCACATATTCATCGTTAGTTTCTTTTTTTTTTTCAACATGCACCAAAAGTTTTATTTTCCCAAAAAACCCTAACATTTGAGAACTTTCGCGAGTCTCTTTTTTAAAAAATATAAAAAATGAGTGGGCTCCCGCGATTTTAAAATTTTCATAGCTGGGTTGGGTCAGGTCGTCGGGTCTTAAGAAATCCACGTGTCTTAATTTAATTGGAGTCCAGACGTAGAGCTACATCCGGAGTCCACACAGAATAATTTCTCAAAAAATTGCAAGCCACAGTAAATTAGAACCATGCCAAGCAATTGAACATGAAGATAACTCTAGTTGGAATAAGTTTTGATTTCTTGTAGCTGATATTGCTGTTTAGATCCATTGGTATAAACTTGTTAGCCTTCTGGTCTCATTAGCTAGTAATAATCATGCTAATCAGGAATGGGATAATTAACTAATCAATTAATTACTCGTAGTAATTACTAATTAATTAATTACTAAGTATGATTTTTCAAGACTTAACTAATATTATAATTAATGCCATTAAAATTTAAGAAATAATTTTGTAAGATTAATTAAGCTTGGTATAGTTAAAATACTAATTAAACTAAAATTAAGCAACTAATGAAATAGTGATTATAATGGTAACTTAAATTTAAGGCTTTAAAAATATCATTATTTATGATTATTTAAATGTGGAATAAAAAAATAAAAATAAAAAAATTTAAAAATGTGGAATAATTTAATATAAAATGAATTTTAGTTTGTTTAAATAAAAATCATAATTAAAGCAAAACAAAAAATATATAAAACAAATCCAAATATGCCTTAAAGTTATCTAGATTAGCAATTTGGTTTCTTAGCCAAAAAAATGTCGGGCAACTGGCTCATCAGAATAATTGTTAGGTTCGGTCATCGGACGTAGCACTATATCCGGATGTCAATAACATGTCGTCACGTGCTCTTACTCTTTACCGTGCGGCCCGATGACCGGACCAGGACCGGAACCCGATATTGCTATGTTCTGGTATTGCTTGATATTGTTTAGGTATTGGTAGGTATTGCTTGACAATAATGAGAAATACAGCTCTGTCAAGACCAATACCTAGCAAAATCGGGGCATTGTTCGGTATTGCTAAGTATTGGTCTTGACAGAATGGTATTTCTCGTTATTGCTGAGCAATATCAAGCAATACATAGCAATACCACGGTCTGCACAAATCAACCAATACATAGCAATCCCGGGTCTGATCCGGGTCCGATCGTCGGGCCGCGCGGTAAAGAGTAAGAGTACGTGGCGCCATTTTAACGACGTCCGAATGTAGAACTAGGTCAGGACACCGAGCCTAATAAATTACAAGGTGTCATCCACAAGTTGACATATTAAACAAAAAAAAAAAAAAAAAAAAAAAAAAAAAACTTTAACAATTAATCTAGTAGATGCTAAATTTTGACATATTTAACATTACCTAAAACATATATTTGTCACCTGGATGTAATGACAACAAATAAAACATTACAAATAAAAACTTTGTACTCTAAAGCATTAATTCAAACTAAAATTAAGAAAAAGTCATGCAAAGTGGAGTGATCAGCTCTTGAAAATTTAAAAACATGGCAATTAATTATGACAATATACTAGCATCATACAATTCATCATGAAGAAAGTGTTAAGATGAAGAATCAATACCTAGCACTATATAGTGCATTTTACACAACGATAGCCGTACACAGTAGTACATAACAATAAAATGAACAAATTATCACATAAACGAAAGAAAAAATGCATATTAATTACCTCTGAGAGAATAAATGTTCGTCCAAAAATTTGTCATTTTACATAAAATTTTACATAATTGATTTACAAAAGCATGTGTTTTCGCAGCATTTGACATATACATTGTTTAAGAATACATTCTAAGTGAATATGTGTGAAACATAAAAAATACATAAACCATTGTTGCCTAGTTTATAAATTCCTCGTTGAAGTATTTAGGATTGTTTGAGAACTTGATATGTCATCAAGGTGAAAATAGTTTTGTTGTATTTTTCTTTACGACAGATTTCTCTGTTGAAAAACTAAGCTCTACAGAACGTATATTGACATATAATATACATTCAAAAGAAATTATTATGTAAGAAAAAGACACCTTACTCTTAAGCTTTTTCTCCTTTTCTAATAGCTCTGCAGAGAATGTGAAATCCTCCAAACCAATCTCCACTTCATCGCCTATTTCTCTTTTTTTTTTCTCAACAGACACCAAAAGTTTTATTATGCAAAATTCCTATATATTGAGAGCTTCCATGGGTCTCTTTTTTAAAAAAATAAAAAATGAGTGGGTTGCCGCAATTTTAAAATTTTAATAGCTGGGTTAGGTCGGGTCGTCCGGTCTTAAGAAATCCATGTCTTAATTTAATTGGAGTCCAGACGTAGAGTTACGTTTAGAGTCCGCACAGAATAATTTCTCGAAAAAATGCAAGACATAGTAAATTAGAACCATGACAAGCAACTGAACCTGAATAGTTGGAAATTGCATTAAATATTGGTTTCTTGCAGCTGAGTACTGTGTTTAGATCCATTGGTATAGACTAGTTAGCCTTCTATAGTAATGTAAGAATATATATAGCGAACAATTTTTGTCAATGCTCTATTTTCTTTATCCTGTAGTAAGATTAAATAAGCTTGGTATAATTAAAAATATTAATTAACCTAAAAGTAACTAATGAAATATTGATTATAATGGTAAGTTGGTAACTTAAATTTAAGGCTTTAAAAATATAATTATTTAAATGTGGAATAATTAAAATATTAAATGATTTTTAGTTTGTTTAAATAAAAATTATAATTAAAACAAAACAAAATAAATTCAAATATGCCCTAAAGTTATCTAGATTAGCACTTTGGTTTCTTTGCCAAAAAATAAAAAATAAAAAATGTCAGCATCCACAAGCTGACATATTTTAAAAAAACTTTAACAATTAATCTAGAAGATGCTAAATTTTGAAAAGCTGACATAAACAAAAATATCAGCATCCACAAGCTGACATGATTAAAATGAACAAAATATTACATAAACAAAAGAGAAAAATGCATAATAATTACATGTGAGAGAATAAATGAACATCCAAAAAATTGTCATTTTACATAAAATTTTACATAATTGATTTACAAAAGCATATATTTTTGCGGAATACGACATATAAATTTTTTAAGAATACATTCTAAGTGAATGTGCCTGAAACATCACAACAAATATATAAACCATTGTTGCACAGTTTATAAATTACTCATTGAAATATTTGAGCTTGTTTGAGAACTTGATATGCCATGAAAGTAAATACAATTTTATTATATTTGTCTATACGATAGATTTCTCTATTGAAAAACTAAGCTCTATAAAATGTATATTGACTTATAA